CTCATTACATTACTTGAATTGATTTGTGTATAAAATATATGTTCAGAACAGCAATACAAATCATGTTCATGTTATAACAAGATAATAACACATAATTTAATATGAAATAAATGTAAATACATTTAAATATATTGTCTATTTTATGCCAGTGCTCCAACATCTGAGAACCTGAGAATTACACTGAATTTCAGTTGAAATACAACCCCCTGAAGCTTCCTAGTATTTTGTTTTAATATGACACCATTATACGGTAGTACTTCACGATCACATATGATAAGTGGAGATTAAATTGAGTTTAAATGTGTTTTACACATTTTTAACAACATTTTATTTTATTTTTACAACATTTTTAAGCACTCCACCACTGTCTCAGCCAATAGAGTGGTGCAGTGATGACCATGGATTGAAATTAACACCCGCCAACCCGCCAAATGTGGGTAAAAATCAGTTGTGGCGGGTAACGTTGTCAATTCACTAGCCAGTTTGGCGGGTTACTTTTCTTCACTCATTAAATTTTTGGGGAAGTTAATGTAAGTCAAATCTCCGCAGATTTAGAACAAATACTGAACTTGTGAGTCATCATGATATATTAAATACAGCCTAATTGCGTAGCATCTGCACATACCTAGCTTACTTGAATGTACCGCGTTCATTTTGTTTGCATTGAAGCGAAAAAACAACTGAGGACTCAGACACTCTGTAATTTTCTTACTGTCCAGCTGAACTCCTGATATCATGCACTTTGATTGATTTAGTTATATCAAATTTAAGGTCATACAAGTCTTAAATGGTACAACTAAGTCTTAATTATGATTTCAAGAGGTCTTAAATTTGGGGATGGAAAGACAAGAATTAATGTGGCGATTAAACTTCAAAAGGCTATGATTTCATTGAATAAATATGAGCGCTGCACGTTTCAAAGTCAGGTGTTGCACTGTACAGCCGTTACCGTGGAAACTGCTATATTATGCCGCTACAAAAGCACCTCCTGCTGGCAGAGGATGAATGTGCAGATCATTGCGAAAATCGACCCATATTTTTACGCAGCAAACACTCAGTTATAAATGTGAACCTGTGGATTGACATGCATTTTAAAAATCTATACAATTAATACATTAAGATATATTTATATGTTATTAAATTAATATAATAATTGATTGGTTATAACTGTTTAAATGTAATAATTGATACTGTTGACTAATCCCTTTTCTTAAAAATGGTTTAAAGGCTGATGTTTAAAGTGTGCTGAAAACTTTTTGCTTGTGTGAAAACCTGTAACTGAACTGTATATATGGTATTAATTTTATTTGTGCAGGTCATAAAAAGGTCTTAAAATGTCTTAAATTTGATTTAAAAATTCTTGCAGATATTCAGATTTGATAATAAATATATTTATATATGAAGTTGTGACATAGTTAATCTGGTTAATTTCTGTTAACATAAACATTTTGCAAATTGGATGGTGAGTGAAAAAGTTAATTTCAAACCCTGGTGATGACTTATATTTGTAGGCCAGCCCAGAAGTTAGCATCAGCCTGGTTCCCTCAACAAAGACCCAATAGGATTTTTCCATTGGCATTTAGAATATTGCAGAAAATAAGTTCTGTGATCAACAAAGGTTAGTGATTCTTACATGTTTTGTTTATTATGAGAATCTTCACAAATGAACATAACTCTTATGAATTATAATGCCTAAATACAATCGCCAGAAGTAAAAAGCTAAACGTAAGCTATAAATTAACTGCACCACAGTCGCATGACTTTAGCATCGCCACCACTTACCTTCTGAAAACTCTTTCAGTCTTTATTTAACAAACCATTTTAGACACTTGTTAGCAATCGCCTCTTTCAAGACGAGTAAAAGCTTAAAAAATCACAAAGTTTTATTTTATGTCATTGAATAAAATATTAAAATATCTTGAGCTTGTGATCACCACAGACCTTATATCAGGCAGTTACCAAAAAAAAGAAGTATATATATATATATACTTTAGAATGATGGAACCAGTGCTAAAATGCTAATTCGTTTCAGGGTTTTGGCCTACAAAATACATCACTGGAAGAGAAAATGTCCACACAGGAGTCAACAACAGGCTCATATGCTTACTTTCACACATCCAATACATCAATAATGTTGTGTGTTTTGTGTATGTTTCTCAGTGAAAGCTGATGGATGTTTCTTTTCATTCAAAAAGCTAGTTAAATATTTTCCATCTGGAGCATATCCTTTTTTTATATAAAAAAAAAAATGTGCATCACTCCCACAATAACGTCTATTAATCAGAACCAACCAATTTTTCTACCATTTGTCTCAGAGTCAGAACAGATAATAAATGTGTTTCTTATTCATTCTCGTGTCATCTGTAACAATAAAAGCAACAGCGGAGAATGCTTTGGGTCTGATTGTAGTGTGCCGTAAATTAATTAAAGCCTCAGAGCAGATTGAGAACCAAGAGCAGATTAAAGTAGTGCAATCTGTGAACACTTCAGCATGATCAAAGTATTTGACAAATCTCTGCTAATCAATGCACACAATCTCAAATCAACCGAAATACACAGATATAATAATGATATGATAATGAGAGATAAATACTAGAGAACTGACACTGGGGGACTTTCGTCACCTCAAAGGATTGTGGGGGTTTTTCGTTATCAGGAAGCACAACCATCTTGTCAGACATGATCAAGTGTGTGTCTAAGTAATGTTTTAGTACTAAAAACATCCTACTAAAAATATGGGTGCCTTGCATTGTGAAAAATATTGTTCCCTTTCGAGGGAACTTTGAACTGCGTCCTCTAGTGGTCGCTATGGGGAACACCTCGACGTGACTCATGTCTGAAGCATACATTCAAAACAACAACAACTGGAGGAGAATGAGTTCATGGGGATCACAGGCGGATCTGGCCGATGAGTTTAAAGAGGGGCTTTCCCTCTCGCGCTCGTCGGCCGCGGACGAGGGTGAGTTGCTGGATGATGATGATGTGATTTCCCTAACATCATCTGATCCAGCGGCCAGTGCTCTGCTGGGCTCTGCCCAGGAAGAGCAGGAGATGTCTGAGGGGGGCGAACAAGTTGCGACTGAGCCCTCCCAATCCTCCTGCCCTGCGTATAATGAGCTATTGGAGGTTATGGAACGCGCCACAGCGAGGCTCGACTTGCCGTGGAAGCGGGCCAGGAAGATGGCGCCGCGAGGTCGTCTCGACGAGCATTATCTTTCTGGCCATAGCCCCCCAGATCTTACTGATGGTCCGGACTCGAGGCTTCTTCAGGCTTCGCCTCTTGAATGGAGCTCATGCGCGGGAACCATGGTGGGTGAGTACGATCCATTTTTAAATAAATGTATTGCTGGTGGTTGTGTGAATCCTTCTGCTAGCCTTCTTTGCCGTGTTTCCGGGACCTGTGGTTTTCTGTCCTCGTCTAGGGTAGGTCCTCGGTGAGCACCCCCTCTGCTGGACTCAGAGCCTTGGCTATCGACTTTTACGGTGATGACCTCACTCGTCGATACTGGATCCAGACTGAATGATAGCCCTGTTTCCGGCTTCATGCTTCCTGGATCATGGGGCCAAGTTGTTAGGCTTCTGTGGAAGCCTTCTTGGTCATCAGGTCTCCATTACAGCTCTGCAATTCTGGGATCTGCGGGTCCTTCCTTCTGGTGAGCTCTCCGGAGTGTATGCTTTGCGAGATGCCCCCCTCTTGGATGTCCGGGCTGGGTTTATGCCTCAAAGGCTGCCCTGACTGGGACACCATACCCATGTCGCCCCGAGGGACTTCCTGTGTCAGGATATCCTTTTTCTGAATGAAGCTTCTCTTGCTGAGGCGTCGAGTGGCTTTACTCCACTCTGCAGTCTGTTAGTTGTGTCGTACTGCCATCATGGTGAGCCAGTGAGTCACCCCTCTGTGGAGTGGGTTTGAGTACACTGGGTTCCCTGAGGTATGAGTGAGCGGCATTTCTGCAGAAACCCTTCCTGAGTGCTCTAGCTCTGAGGAGAAACAGCTCTCCATACATGTTTGGGCCCTGTTGTTTCCAGGCTCTGCAGGTCTGGTTAAAGCAGGACCCATGTTCCCTATCAGGTAGAGAGCACGAGGCTGGATTAGGGTTACAATGCAATGCCTTTAATCTAGTCAGCATCGCGCCCCTCGCTATAGAGGGTTATTTATGAGCATGCTGCTTCCTTCTGAGCATTCAAGTTCCCTCCCCTTCAGAGGAGTTGAATTCCCCGCTCCGTGGGCTGTTCTCGTGGTGGACTTTAGCAGTGCTCCCCTCATTCAGAGGGTTGCCTATGAGCATGCTACCCCTTTTCTGAAATTCAGAGTTCTCCTCTCACATTGAGAGTTGAGTTCTCTGTTTCCCAGAGCACCTGAAACCAGCAACATCAGGCAAACTAGGCCCTTCCTCTGCCTCCCTGATACGCTGAGTTTTTTTGGCTAAGCTTGCAGTACGCTTACCCTTCAGGATTTCTACGAACATGCTGTAGGTCGAGCATCTGTCTCCCCCTCTCGGCTGAAAGCTGGTTGTTATGCTCCCTCAGCTAGGTAACTTACTGCTAGCCAGGCCAGCATTATGACCATGATGATGAGTTGGTGACTTCTCAGACGTATTGTTCTATGGGATGCACCATTTCCATCTATGTGCGCTCTGTATATGCTATGGACTGCTCCCTCAGAGTGCCACGGTCACATAATGTCTCTAGGTCTGTCTAGTAAACAGTCTCTAGGGCCCCTTAGTAATGGTATCTTTAAAATCCATGTTATGGTAAGTGCGCTCATGAAGTCTCTGTGTACTTCCTAAAATCCACGCTGTGGTAAGTTCGCACATAAATCATTTTGCGTTCTTTCTAAAAATTCCTGTATGGTAGGGGTTACGCGCTGCGGCTTCGTGCCCTTTCTTTGAGTCGGTCAGGCCCCGGTTCCGAATGCCATTAATGGAAGGAAAGCATATCATGTGTCAAAAAGCATTTATGTATTCAAATCTGATAATTAATTTGACTTCTTGTCCCAGAAAACAAAGATCTCCACGTATGATAAGATGTGGGAGTTCATGAGCAGTCGAAGACATTCAGTCATGGTGAAGAGCATCGAGGAAGGAATTGAACGTGTACTCACCTCAGATTATGCTTTCCTTATGGAGTCCACCACCATCGAATTTCCAGCACTGGGAGCACCAGAGATAGGGGAACGATCTCCTTGGTTGAGGCATGACAGGCAGACTGTTCAGGGCAGATAGACAGTTCAGACAGATCAGGGCAGACAAACATTTTGGGCACGACCTCCATGCTCGTGATGGGACAGATAGACAGTTCAGAGCAGATGAACAGTTCATAAACAGCCTCCATGGCCATAACAGGACAGGAAGAGATTTCAGATGATGATGGAAGACTGGATAGTTCTGAATAAAAGTCTATTAAATTCCCTGAGTCCAGCTGCAGCTCACAGCGGTGGCACAGTGGGCGGGGCTTTTATCCGCGCCCTCGCTCTCCACTGTATAATCCTCTGTGGCAGGCATTGTTGTCGGCTCACGCACCTGGTCAGACGTTCCATGAGGCTCTGGCTCCGGGGCGATCCTCAGCTCTGTCGCTCCGCGCAGCGGGGTGGTATTTGGCTGGGCTCTGGGTTCGGAGTGGGGCTGGTGAGTTCCACATCAGCATGGTAGACGGTGAACTGGGATCCGTTTCTCACCAGTACCCACTACACAAAGGCAGAAAAATTCCCTCGAGGACAAGAAAGCAAACGAGGGGAAATGCACCGCTTAACTTCCTGTTTGGTCGGATCTTCTGTTACACTCAGGTGCACTCAAAACACTCACGAAGATGATGAAGGTAAAATTATCTATAATATTCCAAACAGGAGGTAAATCCACAAGAGGAAGGCTTAGCACACGTGAAAACATAGACGAGATCTGACAAACTAAGGCAGCACAGACAGGAACTTAAGTTCACAGACATATAAACATAATTAACTAGACACAGGTGAACAGAATGAACTAATCAGGCACAATGGAAAACTAGGTCAAGGGAAACATGAGGAAAGAAAACAAACTAAAAGTCCATGATAGTGACAGATGGTACCTAAAAACCACGTATAGCCCCAAAACAATGATTGCTAATGCTACTGCGGCTTTTCTGTTTTCAATCAATATCTGAAAGAAAATTCCTGCTGCAGATATTGACTTCACTGCCCTAATCAATAATCAGTCATATATTTGCCAAGATCTAAGCAAATCTGCATATTCAAATGAAAACAATTTCTATTGTGCCAAAATACATAGTCTCAGCAGCATTAATATATATATATATATATAATTATATAATTATTTTTTATTACTCATCACTGCTTTCAAATTGTTTATTACTTGGGTTATTACCCACCCAACAATGACCTGTTCATGTCCAATTTCCAACTAGCAAACTCATGTTTACGATAATTCCGATAGCATGTGATTAATCTCATAAATTATATACATATTATATATATGTTGTCAATATTCACGCAAGATTCTAGAAAGACTTTTGATAAAAGTTGAGAATAAAGTATATCAAGATCAAAGGGATGTGGGTGGACAAGCCTTGTAATGCAAGTGTGTGTAATGCCACAATTTACATTTGACAATGATGTTCTTGTCAAATTTTTTTTAGTATGAAAATGGATCTAGAGATGAGTGGATTGCTGGATTTCAAATCAGTAGGAGTGAGGCAACAAAAGTAACATTGTATTGAGATTAACCTGCCTGCAGATTGGACACTACCTGGCATATGCCACTAATTGTGCATGAATTATAGTAAAATATACCTTAAAATATGTTCTTGTTCCAATTGGAATACCATACAAATAAGCTTTTGGTAAAGTTATAAAAAAGCGTATGAAGATGTTAAATGTAATGAGAAGGATGACATCATGTCCTAACTAGAAACGAAACAAGAAGTTTCCACACTGAAAGGGACAATGAAGCACATAACATAACAGCAAAAAGATTTTAGTAGTTTGGTCATTTACACAAAAATGAAAATTATGTCATCTAATACTCGCTTGTGTACTGACTCTGTATTATTGTCATTCTTGCATGTAATACAAAAATAATTCCATACACAAATATGTGTATTACATTTCCATATAAGAATCCTATTATAAATTAAAATATATATTTTTAATATAGTTAAATTTATTAACATATACTGTATATCTAGCCCATACACAAACATATATGTTTATATAGGGGTAATACATTTTTAGACATATGTCATGTACATGTACAGTCGTGGTCAGAATTATTGGCACCCTTGGTAAATATGATCAAAGAAGGCTGTGAAAATAAAACTGCATTGTTAATCATTTTGATCTTTTATTTCAAAAATTCACATAAATCGAACCTTTCATTGGAGAATAATATTAAAATGGGGGGAAATATCATTATGACATAAATGTTTTTCTCTAATACACATTGGACACAATTAACGGCACCCTTTTATTCAATGCTTTTTGAAACCTCCATTTGGCATAATAACACATAATAACAGCTCTGAGTTTTCTCCTATAATGCCTGATGAGGTTAGAGAGCACCTGACAAGAGATCAGAGAC